ACGAATTTTGGAGTAATTCCAGTTGGAGGACGTACGTGAGTCACTTAGCTTGATCGTATCAAAATATCAGACTTTTCCACCAAGCGATGATTTCCTGGCGAATAAATGAAGGAGCAGTGCGCTGTGCTGGAATAGTATAACATTTTGGGCTTTTATTGCGTTTTTGGAGCCTAAGATAACCTCAGATGGGTTCGTGGCCTTCAGGAGAATGTTTGGAATATTTTTATCTTTAAAACGAGCTATCTTGGGCCATATTTGGAGGAGATTTGAGACCAAAACGTGGCTGGGCAGATTGTGAGCAGATTCTCCTAATCCAATTTGGATTTTATATTCTAATATTATTTTATTTTAACCTAGTTTCCTTGTGGGAATTGGGGCAGCTAGGTTTTAGGAGGTATTTAAGTTATTTTTCACAGCAAATTTTGACCTTTTTGGCTTTTGGAGCAATTGCTAGGGTTTTGGATTTTCGCGACTTTCAGGTGTTTTCATTCTTATTCTTCTTAATGATATTTTCTTGGATTTCAATTGTGAACATGCGTAACTAACTCTCTTTTGCTAGGGTGAGGCCACGAGCCTTAGCAAGATTATGTAGTTTCTGTCCAATTTGCTTATGATTATATGCATGCAGGTTTTCGAATTATTCATCACTGGGTTAAACTATCTAAGTGTCTTGATGCTTGATCACCATTAGGATGTTTAGAAAAGTAATTTGATGCAGTTTTGGTCGGAGGTCGGTCCCTGAAATTGACGAAGGCTTCTTGTGATTAATATGTGCAAGTTCACTTATGATGAATACCACATCTTAAGGGTTGCATGATTTTTTCAAAAGGTTTCACAGAACTTAATGAGTCATGTATGTTTAGATTTGATTTGAATACCACAGACGGATTGCATGTGTGATATACGCTCTATGTTGGGGGTCCAAGTAGGCATATATTAGGAGTACCTAACCTTCGAAATATGCATGTATAGGTCATAAGTAATTGGGGGAACTATATAGAATTGTTAAGGTGACGGCGGATCCCTAGTGCTTTCTTAATTTGATTTCTAAAAACACAACTGTTTCTCTTGCTCTTAGCTTTAATTTTGCATATTGCCTTATTTTTATTAGTTAAATTCCTTTTAATTTAAGGTCTTCAAATCAAACATCTCAACTTTCTCTTTTGCAATAATTAATTAGAATTTGGTTGCTACGAGTTATTTAATAATCCCTGCGGAGAACGACCTTGCGAGAATCATTTATACTACAATAACCTTGTCATTCTTGCAAGTTTTGTAGGAGTTTTAACCCTGTTTGCGCAGGTACTAAAAAGCCTATCACAAATCTTAAGCTACACTACTTATATATTTAGTTAACTTCCCAGTTAATATGTAACATTCTTATATTGTCTTGTACATAGATAATATATTATATGTACTCATTATCTTGCTCTAGTCCCTTTTTTATTTTTTTTAAAGTAGTTTTATATTGATTTTTCTTCCGTATGTAATGGGGCAGGACAGGGAACCCAGTCCCCATTGAAGGTGGGAATGGGGAATCCCTAATATGAATATTGGCTGAGTTGCAGAGTTATAATGGGGCCATAGATTTGAGAAAGCTTGGTGAGAGAGAGATGGGGTTCGTTGCCAAGCTCTAGAAGATTGCCAATGAAGGGAAATGGCTTTGGTCCAGGTGGGAGAAGATGCCTCTTGGGATTGGCTTTGCTTTGCAGAGCTTGAATAATTGAGAACAACAACACAGAGAAAAGGCTTAGCAGGACCATACAAAAACTCAAGAAATCCATTCTCTCTCTCTTTCTAATTGCACAAAAGTTGTTAAATTGAACTATTATAATTCGAATAAATCGAGTTTTGGTCTAAAAAATTCCAAAGAGTTAAAATCATTTAACTTTAAATTCTATAATCAAAATAATTTATGACTCATACGTTTGGGAGCTATCATTCCCACAGATGCACATATCACGTGTAAAATAGTAAATGACATGCAGTAATAAAATAAAAAAAGGTGGTGGTAAATGACATACCTACAATAATTTATAGCCAAGTGGGCTAGTGGTTTTGTTTTTTCCCATAAACATGCACGAGGGCTAATGGTCTTTTGCAACTGCACACGTCTGCTTTGAAAGAGGATGGTCCTAAACTACTTGAACAAGAAAAGAAAAATGCAAAAAGACAAAAAAAGTACAATTTACTGTACAATTTCCTGCCAACTCAAAGGGACTTTTCTCACCTAAAAAAGTATATTATATATATATGAGTCAAAGAATGGGTAGCTAGAATTCAAAATAACTTATGATTGGCCCCATTGAATTTTTTTTTGGGAAATAGCTCAAAATGTCACCTATTTTATAATTTTTTTGTGAAAATACCACCACTCCTCTAAAATTTTAAAACTATCACCTATAAATACATTTGTATTGTTCACTGATTGCACATATATCACTTTTTTTAGAAATTTTGGTCTATCTCACCTCTCTTGTTCTCTCTCTAGCGCAGCTATATGTCTATCTCTTTGCTCTCTCTCTCTCTCTCTCTCTCTCTCTCTCTCTCTCTCTCTCTCTCTCTTTTGAATCGCGAACCCTTCCCTCGACCCCGTATTTTAGGTATGTCTTCTAAATAGGTGCTTGCAACCTTGAAGCTCTACTGGATCGATGGCCCTGAAAAGGTAGGGTTGATGGTTATTTTCTTAATATATGTGGGATTATGTGAAATAGGTTTTGTTCGATTGCTTGGGATTCTGTTAAATTGGTTTTGGGTTTAATTGCTTTCGGTTAGGTTTTTTGAATCTTCATGCTCATCCATCTGGGTTTGACCAATTGCATTTATATTGATCTGGATACGTGAATCTAGAAACTTGGGATTTTCCATTTGATGTAGTGGATGTTGTTGTGCTCATGTTATTTTGCAGTCGTATGGTTGTTATGTTGCTATTATATTGCTGTTGTATTGCCTTCTTATTGCCTAGTTATTGTGGTTGTACTGTGGTAATGAAATGTTGTTTTGTCATTGTCAGAAATGAAGACAATTGTTATTCTGATTTGCTACAATGGAAAATGGGTAACCTCAAAGAAGATGTGCAAATACGAAGAGGGTGACTTAAAAGGCTTAATAGTTCCACGGACCGTCACATTTGCTGAACTGTTGGATCGTGTGCATCAGATTGGTAATACAAATTTCCCAAATTTCCAATTTTATATGCAGTGCTTTGTATTTGTTTTTCAGCCGTATCACGTTTCTATATTTTCGTTGTTCTTCAAATTTTGTCATTTTCAATCTTTTTATGATTTGAGTATATTCGGAAATTGGGCATTTCGTAGTAAGGTAATTTTCCGATTTTCCAATTTGGCAATTTCGTTTTCTATGTTTTTAAAATTTTCAAAAATTGCTTAGTTACAGAATCCATTTTTGGCCTGAAATCCAATTTTATTGCTGTTATTGTAATGCTCTAATACTCTAAATTACAGCCAATGAGTAAATGGTGTACATTTCATTCCAATCAATTTAATGCATCAACTACATGCCCAATTTCGTCATATATAGACATGCAACTAACTCCTTGAACATAATATAAAATAAACAAGTTCCTATACATAACTGAAGCATAGGCAACTTCTTAATGTGAGGTTTGCGAAAGGTCATTATTCTACACTTACTCAAAGACAAACATTCTCTAATAAAGCTGACCATGTTTTTGTTTATAAGTTTTCAATAAATACAATTGTGAGACTGAATATACCTTTGAAATTTGTTTGTGCAGACTGCAGTTGTCAATTGTCCCCAGCAATACTTAAAGATGTCGGACGTACGGCCTCCAAACGAAGATACCAGTTACCTGGGAGACCAGCCGTGGCATGTGCCGTTCCCATCTCCACCTCTGACTCTAATTGCCACCCTATTGCGTGTATCCCAGCGATAGTTATTGTTATCCTATTGTAATTATATTGCCCTCATATTGCCACTAGATAGTTGTATATTGCCTAAATATCATGGTTCTATTGTATGTAGATTGACTAGGGCTCATCATTGGGTTTAGAGTTTAGGGCCTACTTTATTCAAAAACAAGAAGAAGAGGAGAAAGGAACAACGTGCCTTTCAAAAAGAGGCACTTAGTTGCATCATAATTATACCGTAAGACATTGTAAGAAATAATTATTAAAAATTATAAATATGAAAAAATTATTTAGAAAAAAAGGAAGGTATGAATAAATATGCAAATTCTTGGTGATGGGTTGAAGAAAAGCGCGATTGTATTTGGTGGTAAGATTATGTTTGGTGATATGATATGTTGTTTGGCTTAATTTTCATATATGTAATTGTTGTATTAATAAGTGACACAATTAATCTCGTAATCATCCCATTATTAACTAGTAATGGGTCAAGATGAATAAATGAAATGAAACAAAACAAGAAACCCAAAATAAACACAAACAGCAATTTCCAACACCTTTTTATTGCCACTATATCGCCACTGTATCACCAATTTATTGCGTTTTATGCATAAATGAATTATGCACTTCCTTTGTTTTCTACCCATTATGCAAATTTTGTGTTATGTATATGATTGGATTGAGTATAGAAAAATGAACAAAACTACACTGACTAAATGTCAAAAAAGGATACAAAAAAGAGTAGAAGTCAGTGGAAATGAACACATTGTTTCAAACAAGTAAACTGTCATACCTCCATAAAGAGCAAGTATGCTTATATATCAAGCAGTACAAAATAGTTGAACTTCACAATCTAAATAATAAGTAGGCTAACCATGATTGCAACTCGAAAACAAAACCCAAAATGGAATCAATGTATGTGCCATGTAAGGCAATTAGCCACTACCACCGAATATACAATATTACATTTCACCTTGCTACACAGAATACCTAAACCAAATAGCTCTATTAAAATGTATGGATGACCATATAAAGCACCTCTAGCACAGCTTCGATGTCTGCATCTTCATATAAAGGCTTTCCTGACATAATTAAGGAGCACAATGAATTCCCAAGTGATAAGTGAAGACTGAACTCAATTCACTGACATTATCATATTTACCTCAATATATGCCTCCCCCCTTAAAGCCTCAATTGCAAGTTCAAGTTGGTAATATATAATCTTCGAATAGTCAACTTTATCCAACGAAATGTCGGCACTAAGATGCTCAATGAATTTTACCGTTATGATTCCATACGAGGTATTGTCAGGCCAATAAGTATAGAAATTAGAACTGCAGTTATGTACAATATCGATAAACTGCACTAAATTAGCATAGCTTACCCATCACGTTGTTTACAAACCATATAAAAAAACCAACTAATGCATCCATTGAATAAACGGGTGATTTGATACCTCTTCCTAGAAATTGACAAAGGACACCATCGTCCAATGAACTCTATTAATTTCCATTAAAATAGGAAAATAAATATTGCTTAGTATTAAAATTCCAACAAAAGCTACTGCAACTGCAAAAACAAACTATAAAGATTCATGTGCCTAATGTAGAGACTATAAATGAACACCTACAATTTTCCTTCTTTGGATGAAACAAAAACAACAAACAAACACAGAATCCAATTGCATAAATTGCCAAAAGCATTAAAACCACAATGGAACGGGAATAAAACAATAATAAACTAGCAATGGCACAGCACTACGATGCCAATATAATACCACTAAAATGACAATCCAACATCAATAAAACAACAATACGATACCAATAACAGCAGCAAAACAACAGCAGTTTCAAACGAAGAACAAGAACACACTCCTTCACTATTTCAAACAAGGAATCATCACAATCATACAATTTCATAGAAATCCTTAAACCCTAAACCAAATTCAAAGAAACCCCTAAACCAATTTCATAGAAACCCATAAACCCTAAACTAATTTCAGACAAACCCTTAAACTAATTTTAGACAAATACCTAAACCCTAAATCAATTTCGAAGAAACCCCTAAACCCAAAGAAAATGATGATGAATAGTACCTTTTGGATGTGAACAGTAGAGTTAAGCTTCGATGAACAGACACCGTTGAGGGAGGAAGACCACTGCGTCATAAAGAGAGAGAGAGAGAGAGAGAGAGAGAACTAAGAAAGACCGAGAGTGAAAGCTGAGCGAAGACGGACTGAGACTTGAGCGACAGAGAGACAGAGCAAAGAGAGAGTGAGAGCTGAGCTACAGCAAAAGATGGCGGCAAGAGAGGTGAGAGAGAACAAAATTTCTAAAAATGCGATATCTGTGCAATCAATAGACAATAAAAATATATTTATAGGTGATAGTTTTAAAATTTTGGGGGAGGGATGGTATTTTCACAAAAAAATTATAAAATGGGCGGCATTTTGAGCTATTTCCCTCTCTTTTTTCCCAGTAGGAGCTCATGCCTCTTTAGTTATTCTAATTACCAATCAATCTTGAAAATTAAGATGCGTGACGCAGGGAGACGGTACATTCATGCATTTGTGGAAAGAAAGTTTTTCTTTGTTGTTTTTCTATGAATAGAAGACATGACATGTTTTCGGCAAAATTCACTCTTATGCACATGGCTGATTTTTTTGAAAAGGACCCGTGGAGCACGGAACATGAAACACTGTCATGGAATTACATATATATATTAAGACTAACGTCAAAAGACTTCCTAAAAATTTAGGGTCATTTTCAATATAGTGTAACAACCTGATCCTAAATTAATATTTAATTATTAATTTCTTCAGGTAAAAGACTATTTTGTCTTTGGAATAGTTTAATTATTCAAAAGTTGACTTTTTGTTCGGAAAGGAATTTGGAAATTTCAATTGGACCGCTACGTAGAGCTCGTCGATACGAGTTCGTAGACATGCGGCACGCCTAATTCCGAGTTGTAATGAAGGAGGAAAGGTCTAGAAACAAAAAAGACAGTGGGAATTTTAAAAATTGTTACTGTATCTACAGTACCGGGTCTTCTTCCTTGTGATTTAACCTGATTTTCTGGTTATTTTTTTCTTCATTCTTTCCACTTCCATCATTTTTTTGAGGCACCATCTCATCTCGATTGCCACCGCAACCTTCACGAAATCTTTTCCCCTCGTCCTCCTCTACAAAACCCACCCAAGACCCAATCCGATTTGGTGATGATGAGCTTGATTCGAAGCTTGGAAAAAAACCAGGTTTTTCGGCGATTCTGATGGCCGAATCAGTCGAGTGAGCTATGGTTCCTCACATAATTTTCGAGCTCTAGCTGATGGTTGGGTAGGATTTGATCAATTTCTAGCCTAGGTGGTTTGATTTATAACCCTCAGTTTGGCCGGTTTTCAAATTTGAAATTCTGGCCAATCCCGGTCATTTTTCAAACAAAAGTGGCTCCAATCGATGTCTTGAACCTAAGGTAGGAATTGTGACCGGCGGTTTGGAGATTTTCCAGCCACCGAAAATTTATCTAGACACTCAGGAGCTGCCGACGCGTGGGCCAGGTGGCAGTCAGGCATTGGGGTTTAAAATGATCCTTGTGTTGTCACGAGTGCGTAGGTGTGTTCGGATTTCAATTTGGATATCTTTTGAGTCTCAAACAGACTTCAACTATTGTGTAATTTCTGGGTTTGATATGTTCGGACCGTCGGATCGAACTCAAATTCAAGTATGTGGTACTTTATAATTCTCCGATCGTATAGGAATCGATGGATCATGAATCCGAGTCTTGGATTTTCAAAAATCGCTAACCGTAGGGCTAAATAAACTGTAACAGTTCAATCTTGCGATTATGATCAAGCCAACCGTCCAATTCAAATCAAACTTGCAGGGTAGGTTTAGAAAAGTGTGTTGAACCTGTAGGGACTCCCGGATTCGTGATAGGAGTTCGTGGGCCCCGCGGGCCCGGTTGACCAAGTTTAGGTGGTTGACCCTTCATTTGACCGTGAGTCTTCCGAAGTAATTTTACCCTTCGAAAAGTGTTAGAACGATCAGGTAAACGAGTCTTGAACGGAAGTTGGGTTATTCTGACCCTGTTAAGGTTAGAGGATTGTTTTATAGTATCTTATAAAAATTCGTGGATAGTACATCAATAATTGAAGTTATGGGAGTTTCTCTGAAAGTTATCATTTTTCATTAATTGATATTATTACGTTTATAAATTAAGTATATGGATTGAGTGGTATTAGGTTTTGTATGGAAGCATAATGTTTTAATTGTCGAATACAGTATTTTATGGAAGTCATATGAAAATGTGTGAGTGTTCATTTGTTAGTAATGGCATTAATTTCATAGATTAGATTACCATATCACTTATTATGAAATTATATGACTATGGAGTGAGTATATATAATTGTATACATATGGATTGCTAAATTATATATATATATATGTGTGTTATTTTGTATTTGGAGGTGTGTTATAGTATGTGATGGTAAACCTAAAGGGTATTTTCGATAATTGGAGATTATGCAATATTGAGAATTGATTTCTGGAAAATTGAGAAGAGAATATAAGCAAGGTTTGTGAAACAAGAGGAACTTCGAGATAAGTTTCAGAATATGGTTTTTAAACCCACCTGAGGAGTATCCCCCCCCCCCCCCTCCCAGTTGCCTTGAGACAATTTGTTATTTATGATAATGCCCCACGAGTTTCGGGGACGCCTGAACCGTGTGGTGTGAGGATTGCGGCTCGGTTGATCTGGTATCTCCGATGCCTGCGAGGATTGCGGCTCAGACTGACTAATGGTCCCCTAAGGCCTGCGAGGAATGCGGCTCGGTTAACTTTGTGTTTCCGAGACTTGCGAGTACGTGGCTCGATTAACTTTGTGTTTCCAAGACCTGCGAGAACACAGCTCGGTTAACTTTATGTTTCCGAGGCTTGCGAGGATGGAATTGACGGTATTAATGGAATTGACGGATTATTATTGGAATTGACATACCAGGAAATAGGGGTTAGACCTGGCAAACGGGTTGATTTAACGGATTTCGGGTCGTGTTCATTTCAACCCGTTAAGTTAACGGGTTAACACGACATGACAGGACCCGCCCCGAATTTTTCACAAAACCCGAGACGAATCCTGCGGAGACCCCAGCATCACACCCATGCTGGTTTCACTCCTTAAACAGGTAACCTCCTTCTTTAAGAGGAGTAAGGGCATGAGACTTTCTGCCAAAAATTCGGCAGAATCTCCCCTGTAATTTGAACATTTCCCAAAATTTCCACCTGCATAAAACGCATTTAATAAGCACAACTGGCAGCACACACAATGTAGTAACATACAATTCATCTAATTGGCCTCCGGCCTTCAAATATTCCCAAAAAGATCTGCCAACAAAGTCTTTAGATAAAAATTTCCTTAAACATGGCAAGAACAAGCTCAAACACACTTATAATTGCCGAAAACAAAACTCACCGCTAACTTTCCCCAATCCAACAAACGAGGTTTTAACATGCATCAATTATCATCTATAAATTATCACCATTTATTCCAGGGCCTCAGCCCATTATATTACACACTTTATTCAATAGTACACCTACACAACCCTCCCTTAGCCAACCGGGAGTATGAACAAAAATCTAAACATACCTCGATTTCAAACGAGTTTCAGGGCCAACAACAAGGTCCGCATCACACTCAACAAAACACATAATTAGAGTTTA